GACAGGGTAGGAGCGTCGTGAAGTTATCCGACTTGTTCAACTTTCTCCGAGGCCTTGAACCGGTTGAACCGAGGCCGCCTGAGGACGGGGAACCGACCGGCAGCGCCCGTAGAGGTGGGTGGGGAAAATCCCTGCGAAGCGGAATGGGGTGTCGGGGCAAAGCACATCCCCTTTCCCATCTTTATATGTCACCCCACCCCGTTCCCATATTCAGCTCCCAACACCCCACAGATTTCAGGCCCGGCCCTCAACACCCCCAGAGTCAGGCTTGGGGGGGTGTGTGTGTGTCTCCCCCCCCCCCTCAGCCACTTCTTGCACCCCCAGACCCGCTGTCCCCCAAGTCCTGCTCCTCACCACAAGTGGCATCTCCCCTGGGACACCCGTGGCTGCCCCCCCAGCCCTGCTGTAGCGTGTGACCCTGTGCTGTGGGGTTTGGGGGTCCCCTTTGCCCCCCCCACCCCGGGGTGAGTGTGACCTTGCTGAAGCAGCTTCTGGCTCCCCCAGGGCAGCTCCTGGTTCCTGAACTCACAGGGCTGGTGCGGGGGGGGATCTGGGGTTTGCTGTGCTCAGCCTTGTGCTTGCTCGAGTGAAGTTGGGGAACTGGGGTGTCGCGGTGCGGGGGTGCCAGCAAGGAACAGGTGTACGGAAAATAGATAAGGAGTAGAGTAAGAGAAGCACAAAATCGGTGATTTAACTCTTGGGAGCTGTGCAGCAAGCTCTGTAAACCCTTCCTGTAGGATCTTCAAGACACCTGATGCTCTTGCAGTCCAGGCCAGAAGTGCAGCTGTGCTCTCTCTTCTCTGCTTGTGCTGTTCGCTGTAAACTCCTTGAGAAAGAGACTTGTCTCCTTTGTCCGTACGTGCCTCTGGGTATCAGACGCTTTCTCTTGGCTCTCACTACTCTTGAAATGCCTTCTGTCTCATTCTTGCTGTGGATGCATCTCTCTCGCTCTGTGTCTTCTTACTCTGATGACCATGGCTAGTGACAACCTGCAGGTGCTAGCCAGGAGCTCCCGGTAGTGTTTTGATCCAGCTACGCAGGTAACTAGGCAGTTACCTGGAGAGGAGGGAAGTGCTGACAGTGGAGGACAGGAAGAGAGTTTGTCGCTGGATGGTCACGTTATGTTTTTCACCTTCTGTTTTAGAAACACTTTCATACACGGACGACACGGCCATGAGCAGGTCGGTGGTGCAGTCCCTGCTGGCCAAGCGGGAGTTTGATGAAGTTGATATGGCCAAGAGGTAAGGCCTGTAGCCCCCCTTCGAGGGGCAGGCTGTTGATGTTTGCTAGCGCAGGCAAAACTTCCTTAGGGTTTCTGCAATCTCTGTCATTTTCTGTGAAAAGGGACAGCAGCTGTAGCAAATTTGCTGTTGTGAAGGAAAAAAAAAAAACCCAAAAAAACCCCAAACGATGGCTAATTCTGTCATTTGTTGTGTGCTTTGTGCTGCCCTGGAACACGCGGCGCCGTTTGCTTTTGTGGGGGCTCAGAGCTGCTCAAAGTGCAGCAGGATGGGACGTGCTGTATTGCAGCCATGTGTGCAGGCTCACCTTTGTGGAAGACGGTGCTCAGAAATGTCAGAAGCATTGCCCTTCGTGTTTATTTGTTGCTATTTGTTTGTATTTCCCTTACTTTAGTTAGTGAATATTAGTGAGGTCAGCTTCAGGGTTTTTTTATGATCTATTTTCCTTCTGAATCCACAGCCCTGGTAGCATTTGGTTCCACTTAAGGGAGAACATTTATTTGTTTAGAAAGCTCTTCCGCTGAACTCAAACAAAAGACTTTCTTTGTTGTTGTGACCCATGGAAATGTTTCTAGCTTGCTTCTATTTCAAGGCAAAGCTGAGAGGGAAACAAGTAGGTTGTGAAAGGTGATGTTTATACACCTTTTCCTCCTTTCACACCGGTTTTGGGGAATTGGATTCTTTCCTGCAGGACTGAGTCACTTGAACCCTGACTGTCACTGGGTTACCCGTCTGTTAATTCACTTTATCAAGTGGCTTCACTTCAGGAACAGGCCAACTACCCCGTGCCTTTTTCTCACCTTGTAACTGCTGCTCTCCTGCCCACGCCAGGTTTGCTGAGGAGTACAAGAAGGAGCCCAACAGAGGTTATGGGATGGCAGTTGTCAATGTCTTCAAGAAGCTCCTGAGCCCCAAGTGCAACGATGTGTTTGAGCCAGCGAGAGCCCAGTTTAACGGGAAAGGCTCCTACGGCAACGGCGGCGCCATGAGGGTGGCCGGCATCCCCCTCGTGTATTCTGACGTCCAGGACGTGAAGAAGGTACCGGAGTTCTCGGCTCCTTTGGGCACCCGGGCTGCGGGCGTCCTGCTGCCAGGGCAGCCTCGCGGGCGGGTTTGCTGACGACGTGTTTGCGTTCGCAGTTTGCCAGGCTGAGCGCTGAGGTGACGCACGCCAACTCCCTGGGCTACAACGGGGCCATCCTGCAGGCCCTGGCCGTGCACCTCGCCCTGCAGGGAGAGCTCAGCAAGGAGACCTTCCTGGAGCAGCTCATCAGCCACATGGAAGACGTCGAGGCAGATGATAAGTCTCTTACTGACGCCCGAGCGTAAGTAGCTGCGAGGAGCACCAGCTCGGCTGTGTACAGTTTACTCTGGCTCTTAACATTCTTCGCTTCTTCACTGTACTCTTTGTTTCCAGGCTGGGGTTTGAGGATTTACCGTTTTCAAGGCGTCTAAAGAAAATAAAGGAGTTTTTGGAGCTCAGCAGTGTTCCCAAAGCAGATGTGTTGTTTGAGTTAGGTAAGTACCTTCCGTACCAGGAACGAGCTGGCAGCAGGACTGACTCCACACGCCCCGTTGCTGTGTCCTCACCCCTTCGGCCTGTGCTGCCGTCGGGCACAGAGCGTGCTGGGAGGGCTGCCTGTGCTCAGTCCGTGGTTCTCGGAGCTGGACCTAGTGATTCCCTCTCTGTATTGCTGGGAATGTCTTGCGAAGAAAAGCTTACTGTGAATAATGTTTCTTAATATTCGGAGATCTCTTGTCTTAATGGCTGTCAGATCTCCAGCTGGACGGGAGCAGGTAGGGGTGTGTTGCTGGTCTGTACTGGGGTAGTGGGAAGCTGGTCTCCAGGACGTGAGCAGTTCTGGGGAGGTTTCTGAGGTGCCTTTTGCACTTTGTCAGGATAAAATCAGTGATGCCGGTATCGGAGGTAACGGGCGGTGGGAAGTTGCAGGTAGGAGGGAAAGGGCACGTCTGCGGGCAGGAGGACGCAGGTGTTCTGCGGTGCTGAAGGGGATGGGTTTCCTCAACAGGCAACGGCATTGCTGCTTTGCGGTCTGTCCCTACTGCAATCTACTCCTTCCTGCGCTGTATGGAGGCTGACCCCGACATTCCTGGTCACTACAACAACCTGCAGAGGACCATCATCTACTGTATCTCTCTGGGTGGAGACACAGACACCATAGCCACCATGGCCGGAGCCATTGCGGGGGCTTATTACGGGGAGGAGCAGATACCCCCGAGCTGGGAGCAGAGCTGTGAAGCTTTCCAAGAGACACAGAAGCTGGCCAACAGCTTGTACGAACTCTACTGCCAGCGGCTCTGAGCTCTGAGGGGGAGTGTGTTTTCTAAAGGCGAAGCGAGCGGTCACCTCGGCTGGTCAGGAATGTGGTGGTGGGCCCGCGCCACGTGCAGACCCCGGCGAGCCTCCGCCCGAGCCGCTGTGAGTTGAGAGCTGGAAGCACGAGCTGCTTTGGCGAGGGGGGACACGGCCTTGGGTGACAGCACAGCTGGGGGGTGGCTGCCCACGGCGCCTCGGACAGTGGGGGCAGCTGGAGCCTACAGGAGCGTTTGCTTGTTCGTGAGACTTCTGCTTCTTGCTTTGACCGCCGTTGTGCCATCTTGTCATTACACTTGCAGGGTGGGTGTATGAATTCTCTGACTTTCTTGCTGTTTTCCCCTACTCCTGTGTGCCGTGGCCTTTGTTTCAGTTGTTAGGGGCCTGTCCTGCAGCGGCTCTGGGAGGCTCCACACCCTCTCAGATCACCAGTTCCCACTCAGCTGACTGGGACGGAGACAGGAGTCATCGGAGAGGCTCAGCCCTGCCGAGCCCAGAGGACGTCCCGCGGGTGGGACGGGTCCTGTGCTGAGCGAGGATGCTGCAGGGCAGAGGGTCTCTTCCTTCAAGGCAGAACGAAAAGTGCCTGAGGTCAGAGAGGGGGTTTCTTTGCGCGGCCAGTGGCGCTGTCAGAAGCGCCCTTGGCGCGTGCAGACGGAATCCCAGCCGGCTCGTCATCGCTGCTGGGAGAGGGTGTGACAAATTCCTGCTCCCTTGGTGCCCTCCCCTCTGCCGTCCACCTGGCACCGTCCTGACCCGTTGTGCTCTGTGTTCCCTCATGTGACCGGCTTCACATTGCTGCAGCTGCTCTAGCTGCTCCTTTGTTCCTAACCCGTGCATCCTGCATTTTTAAGGCTGTCCTACGTACATACATCCAGAGCACCAAGTGGGATTGCTGTTTAAATCTGAGGGGAGAGATAGCTGTGAAACCTGGTGTTAGACAAGGACTGGATTCCTGGCTCTGCTGCAGTCAGCGACAAAAATGACTTCAGCGGGACACAGGAGTTACTTCTCACAGCCTTAAAACTCTGTACTTGGCAAGAATGATCTGAAAATAAAGGGAAAAGTAGGTTAATTGGGGGAGAATTTATCAGCGCTTAAGAGTTTGTGCATTTGAAGCTGGTACTGGTGGCCAAGAATATTCTAGTAAATGTTCCAGAGTTGTAAGTTTAAAACTTTGGCCCGGTGGAGCTGGTCAAAAAGAGGCTGACAGCTTGGGTATGGCATGTCTGGAAAGGGTTGAAAACTTTTTAATAATTGAAAACAAAAAGAAAGAGGCAAGCGGTCATCATATGGAAGTGTTTATGAATCTGAACGTGACAGTTCTCTCCTACTTCTCTGGTATCTCTTGTGCCACGGGCAAGTGCCCGTTCCCTCAGGCACACGCGGTGGCTGCGTGTGTGCACGCGTGGAAAATCTGGCTGCCGGGCCTCCCCCCAGTTTTCCCCGTGGTCTGCATCCCTCAGGTGCCACTCTTCTGTGTGATGCTTTAAGGGGGTTTTCTTGTATAACTGGATTCTTGTCCTGAGAACACGTGGAATTTTGCTCTCTTGTATGTTTGTGTTGTGCTGTGGATCTCACATGTACAGTGTCAGGTTTTTCACGTTACTCTGTTAGAGGTGTGAACGTATTCACAGAATTATATAAAAGAAGATATTTTCCTTTTGAAGCAGCTTTATAATTTAAATATTTGGAACTCGTGAAGAGCAGAAGAGCTCCTGTTTAAAACATCTGCCTTGTTTTAGGCCAGAATTTAAATGTGTACCAAAACATTTAGCTCTGACTTTCTTGGAAAGAAATAAAATCCCTCAGTTCCCTTTGTTAACGAGCTGCTGCTCCTGTCTTTTCATTCCAACCATAAAGTTGTGCTTCCATACTAAATTGACAGGAGGAGCCGTATGAGAACCTCTGGGCTGTTTCTCCTCACCCCATGCTTCACTTTAAGACTCAACCTGAAACTGCTTTTTTATGGCTTCCTGAAATCTTTCTGTAGAGAGCAGAGTGGCAGATGTTTGGCGCTGGGTAGAGACACCTTGCGTGTAGCCCAGCCTCGTGCTTCGTTCGGGGTGAGCTTTAGCACTGGGAATCCGCTGAAAAATCAGCTTTCAGGTGGCCACTCCTGCCTGCGAGCGGTCAGGGGCGGCTGCAGCTTGTGGGAGCCCAGGAGTGGTTCCAGTTAGCAGCGGGGCGAGCCGGAAGCTTCGCTGGGTGTTGTGGGATGGTTTGGAGAGGCCCTTTCCCTTCGCAGGCGCTTTGCAGCGAGGAGCAGCACGTGGAGCTTCTGCCGGAGCCCGGTGCTGGGTGCCCGGTGCTGGGAGCCCCTGCAGCGTGCAGCAGAATTGTTCTTCAGAGTCAGCTCGCGAAGGAGCCTGCCCGCGTGGCAGCCAGCCTGCTTGGGGGGCACCTCTACGGAACGTCTCCTCTTCCAGATGAGAGATCTGGTAGGGAAACATTTTCTTCTCTTTATTCTTCATACTTTCAGGCTCCGAGAGCGATTCCCTTGCAGGTGATTCACCGTCTCCTCTGCGCGCGGCTGAACTGTTTGCAGCTGGGGACGCCAAGGTTGGCTGGAGACAGGGTTGTGTAACGGAGCAAAAAAAAGCATCGTGGGAAAAACGGAAGGGAAAGGGAATCCCCGACACTTTGACTTAAATTCCTCAAATTAATAATTACCAGTCTGGAAGGGTCTGGATTTCATCCTTTTTTTTAAAATGAACTTCTGGAGACAGGAGTCTTTTCCTTAATGACGAGAGACACGCAATACCTTCTTACCTAACTATCAATTAACAGATCTGCCGGAGCGCTGGGAACAAGGGAGCTGGCTTTGAGAAGGAAAAACAGGGCAAGAGGTCTGCGTGCGTGGTCTAGAGCCAGGCCCGTTCATAGCAGGACAGAGGCACAGCTGAGCCCACCTTTTATACAATAAGTTTTATTGATGTTTTGTCAATACAATCAAGTACTGTAGTTTTAGTTCTGAAGAGAAGGCCAGTTTTCTGATCACAAAGAGAGTGCATTTTAAACCAACTTTTTACTATGACAGACAGTGCATGTAATAAGTATTTACAAAACTAAAAACCTCTATATACTAGGTTAGAAATGAAGATACTAGAGGCAAATTTAACAAAAATAGTAAGAATTTGTATATAAAAATGCACATTGTAATGCAGTTTTCATAATTAAAAATAGACATACTTCATCCAACCCAACCTTTTTTATTATTGTGATTGAAACCAAAATCCCATGCGCTCACACACACGACAGAAAATAATCCTTTCTGCTGGCGAATATCACGTACTCAGTACTCCAGAAAAAAAAAATAATTCTTCCTGACAGTGTCCGGTTTAGTGAACAGCCTCCCTCATCCTGTGCATCGTTTTTTTTTTCCTTTTTTTTTTTCCCTAGCCTAACTCTATGTGCGTGTAATATCTTTGCCTTTCCATTACTGTGTAAGAGGTTATATAGCTGCGGAAGGTTGATTATGGGTTATGCTCTGCACGTGAAGGGAAAGTGAAATTGCAAAACAATATCTACAGCACTGCACGAGTTAACGTCTCGGCGTGGTTATAGTGAGTATTTTTGTCGTTGCGTTTTGCCAGCTAGGACAAGAAGTTTCGGGTAAGACAGAACAAGAAGAGATGGGATGGAGGTTAGGACACGGTATAAATAAGTCGCTTTGAGGAACAGGATGAAGGTTCGGCCCCGGCGCGTGGCTGGGGCGCGAGAGGCACCAGCTCCAGTTCATCGCTGCTCTCCTCCCCGGGAAAGACAATTCAGTAAAGGAGACACGGGCCCCACCCTCACACCCTCCCCTCCCAAGCCTTGAAGAAAACATCTGAGCTTCCACTTCTAATTTTAGGGACTCTTTTTTTTTTTTTTTTTTTTTTTTTTTTCAAAACCCGCACAGCCCTGACACCCCCCCGCCTTCAGGAGCTAAAACCGTCCAGTGGGATCGGCCCCGGGGCAGCCTCTTGCTTGAGGTGCTTTCATCTTGACATGAAACTTGCAGCTTTGGGTGGGGTGAGGTTCCCCGGGAAGGGGACAGGCCAGTCCCAGCGGGGCGGTGGCTCGAGCACTCGCCTTCCAACTCAATCTCCTTTTCGTGTTTCTTAATTTCAGGGATAAGTGTGTTCTTACGAGGAAGCCCTGGATGGCAAGAGGCAGAAACACAGGACAGGCTTAAGGAGAAAAACAAACAAACAAACAAAACAGAGAAAGAAAATCTGTTTAAATATCTTGTACAGTCCGTCTGGAGAACAATCCCAAGTCCCGTTCTTGCTACATTTCTCATCTTTGGCCATAGAACAGGCTTTAGGAATATTTAAGGGTAATAGTTGCTCAGCTGGTGACCAAATTGTTGCTGTTTTCTCAGGGAGGTGCCTTTGCGGAGGGACATGCGGCGTAACGCGTGTGGATTCACTTCAGCAGCGGGCTGCTCGCCTGGGATGGGAGGAATGGCTTTACTGCAAGTGCAAGTGGCCGTGACTGTTCTACCGCGAGAAAATCTGCAAAGCGACGGGGTTCAGGCGCTGCCTTAGCGAAGGACAGAGCAGCCGAGTGGTCGGGATCCGTGCGCACCTTCCCCAGAACCTTGTAGCTCATACTCAGGTCAGTAACATTTCAAGCATTAGTGAGACAAAGTGGTAACGACAGACAAATGTGATTTTTTTTTTTTTTTTTTTTTTTTTAGATTGGCACCCGAAATGGTGCGCTTTTACAGGTACATATTGCACTAGACTTGTCAATAACGTTGTTAAGTAGATAATAGCACCGTTGTAAAATGACTGAATGGAAAGTTAGACCTAACGCTATTTTTTTTCTTAATTAAAAGGTCCCCAGAGAAAGGGGGGATACCAATGCAAAAGTTTACACATCCCGAAATAGTGAGACAGTAAAAGCAAGTTGTCCGTAAGTGGCACTTTCAAGAAAGCACAACTAAACCTTCTATCAAACCAGGCTAGAAGCACCGTAAGCCGGGCTTGCAGTGCCATCCTTGTGTGGCCAAGGACTAAGATGCTGCCAAGGCCAAGCAAGTCTTTGGGCTGCAGAGAAACAGGCAGGACAGAACTAGCCCTTGGACTTGCCAGTAGATGAATTAACCCGAGAGAGAGAAATCGTTGTTCATCCCAGGGGTCCCAGCTTCCCTCAACGGCTCTGGAACAGGTCATCTGTCGTCCTCCCCCATACCAGTGCCTGGATGTGTTTATTCCTAAAGGTGCTGGGCGGGGGGAGGGTTAAAAATAATATTTACTTCTTATAAGAAGGTGCTTATGCAAAGTGTTCCACTTTTTATGATTGCAAATCCAACCGCACTGAATCCGGGGTGAATCCGGGAGATGGCCTCAAAGTCCAGTCTGAAAAAAAAACAGGCATCAGTGAGACTGAAACTCGGGCGTCTGATGGTTTGGGAAGGGAATTTCTCAATCCATCATGGAGCTTTGCTGCTGTGCAGGTTTGTGTTGGGTGCCTAGGGCCCCTGTGCTGGTTAGCAAATACACCACCCATGACAACAGCTGTATTTATTTAACTAGTACTCCGAAGGGGAAACAAGGGCACTTGATTGCAGACCAGAAGGGTCTGCTCTTCCAGACGACCCTCTCTGGATCACAGAGCAGTTTACTGCAGAGCCAGATCCTTGCCGTCCCAAGCGTGTTCCTGTGTTTGATGTACAGTCACTAGGGTAAAACTTGTTCCAAATACGCTTTGCTGAGGAAGTCACTCCCCTCCCTCCTTTCTCCCTCCCTCAAAAAAGACAGACAGACAGACAGACGTCTCCTTTCTAGTTACCCTCTTGACTCATGGATCAAACAGCGTGAAGCAAGGTCCCACGACAACGGCTTGCGCGTTCTTCCCAGTGATTTTTCTTTTTTGTATTAATTTTAAAAAAACCTTTTTTATCAAAAAAAAAAAAAAAAAAATGGCTAAAGTGGGTGAAAAGGAAACATGCCCAACAGCTGTTATGTGGGGCAAAGCAGGAACCCAGAGAAGGAGGAGTGGATGTATTCCGTGGAGTACAACCCGTTGGCCTGGTCCGAGGGCATTTGTACCCAGACTTGGTCGTTCTCCTTGAGTTCAAGCACGGCGCTGCCCGAGGCCTGGTCCAGGTACCCCTTTTTGTACTCGTCGTAGGTGTAGGTGGCGGGCACGTTGTTCTTATAAAGCGCCACCCAAACGTTAGTCCCTTTGACATGCACGTGGTAGGCGAAGTAGTAGATGCCGGATACGGGGCAGGTGAATATCCCGGTGACTGGGTTGTAGCCGTTGTGCCCGTTATACAAAGTCCGGTCAAACTTGACCGGCATGCCGGACGCCGGGAAGGGCGAGGTGAGGATGGCGGTGAAGGCCGGGGCGATGCGGGCGGAGAGCTCTCCTCGCCCGTACTGCGGCTTCCCCGGCTTGCCGTTGCCCAGCACGGCCCCCTCCACGCCTCCGTCGGGCAGGTGCAGCCCCGCGATGCCCGTCTCGTCGAACACCCCAGGCGCTCCCGGTGGCCCGGGCGGTCCCGGTGGCCCTGGCGGCCCGTTCAGCCCCGGCGTTCCCGGCATTCCCGGGGGGCCGATGGGTCCAGCCAGGCCGGGCTCGCCGGTCTTCCCCTCACCGGGAACCCCAGGGAGCCCAGGCTCCCCTTTCAGCCCCGGGAGCCCCTGAGGCC